CCGGTCGTCGAAGAAGGCCTGAAGGGCTGCTCTTATCGTGCAAACGATTTCATATGAACGGGGGGTGGCGTTCCCAAAGTACTGTTTTAACAGATTTATTTGCAACAGTTTTTTTCACATTAAAAAAATGCAATAGTGTTTATTTATAGTAAAAGATACGTAAGGTCTTTGTGATAGGTTTGGTTTAAATCAGGATTTCCGAATGGGGTCGATGAAATTCTGAAGGGAGTCTAGAGGGTCGATAGCCCAATATGCATGGACAGTTGATAGGTATAATTGGTACAACATTGGGAAAAACAACATGGGAAATCTTGTGTATATCTGTTCATTTCGGTGGCCTCAGTCGGAATTCTAACTATGCTCCTCCTCATTTATTTCTAACATGCAACTTACGTTTATGCTAATTATTACAGTAAATTTATTTATTCTGTTAAAAAAACTGACATGCTAATGTGCAAGTTCTTCATAAATAAATAATATAAAGTTTGTAATCTGGTGTAAAAGTTTTAAGGACTTGGTGTTCAAGGTGTTTTCACTATGAGTAAATAATTTAATGCGCAAACGACTTTTCGCACATATTTTCGCTTAGCGAACAAACTAAGCATATCAGACTTTTATTATTTGAGGGAAAAAAAAAAAAAATTCAATGAAATTTCTATGAAAATCGTAATTTAATTTCTGAATTTTGGCGAATTTTTGAATATCCTTCAATTTTTAAGACTGACGTTTATGATTTTAAAATTTCAACATCTAAAAATGTATCGATTATGAAGTTTTGTAATTTTTATCATAAAATAAACGTTTCGCCCTCTTTTAAAATCAGAATGGTAAAAAAATACTAATTAAGTGGATTTTCGGCATTTTTTGAAAAAAATTTGTTGTAGTCTAAAGCAGGCGGGGGGGGGGGGACAAAAAGCGTTTTGAGTTTGCCTTCTTGGCGCATTTATTGACGAAACTACGATTTTCCCTGCTCCCATTTTACCTTTCAAATAAAATGCTGGTTCAAGTTTGTAACATTTTTGTTACATCCAATTTCCGAAACTGAATATTCAAAGCGATTTCTTCATTCTCCGAATGACGTTCAGTTATTTTCCTTTATTTCAAAACTTCTTCCCATTTATTGCTTCTGTTTTAACTGTGACTTTTGAAACTTCATCTCTGATAACATGAACAGCTGTTAAGAATTTTAATTGAAGTGCAACGAGATCATATTATCGTTCTTTTCTTTGATACGCCAATCGCACAGTCTTTTAACACCTGTCAAGGCTCACATAACATTCTAACACGAGTTATAACCACAGTGAGAGAATAAGAAAAAGAGGTATACAGTCAAAAGTCGTTAATCCGGACTCGTCGGGACTTCGGCGACTCCGGATTATCGATTTTTCCGGATTATAGATCATTAGTTTAAACCTGGTAAGATGGCATGCAGAAATTATAAAATTAAAAATATGAAACCGTAATTTATGAAATAAAGAACAATTATGATCTAAAGGGTATCAAAATTTACAAAAAAAAAGCGCTTAATATTTAATACATACATTGTGATAATACATTCTCTTTAATTCTATAAACAGACATAATTTCTTGTTCATTTACAAAGTCCTATAATTGCTGTGTCGAGAATACCGACTAATTTGTCAATCGAAATTTTTTCGTTTTCAATAACCTCTGTTACTTTCTTCGCTATCGGAAGCGAATTATAATGACGAGGAATTTGATTTAAATCATATCAAAGACGGAGTACATCGAGATGAAATACTACATTAGTAAGGAATTGTAAGCCAAATAAAATAAAAAAATCTGCCCTGAAGATACGGATAGTGCTGACAGATTAACTGTCAGCACTATCCGTATCTATCCAATTCATTGCGCGCCGCGGCGTTAAAGATAAACAAAGTTTAGATAAACAAAGGATATGCCTTTATCCATTTTTTGCAGCAATTCCACTTTTTGTTTAATGGACTTCGAAACATACTTTCGCTTTGTAGATTCTTTACATATTAGTAAATATATATCAGAAATTCTATTTGACATAATCGGAAGTTCAAGCTTACTTTTATAAAATTGCTCTAACAGTCTGCAAAAAATAATAAGCCGAATCCAATTCGAAGATTAAGGAACAACGCAATCTGCAACATTAACTGAATTAGATAATTTTAGCTTAGCTTATACCTTCCGTTATACATTAAACGCGCATTCGTAAACGTATTTTGCGCACACGCATATTCGCAGCCGTAAAGGTCTTACGCGCATGCGCAGAAAGTTTGTAGCGTTGAGGTCCGGATTATAGATCATTCCGGATTATGGGTCTCCGAATTAACGACTTTTGACTGTATTTTGTAATAAAAGGAAGTCTTGTCACCTGGCTGCATATAAGCATTCTGTACAGCGTCACACACATAGGAAAGAAAAAATCCGTGCTTGTGATTAGACATACTTCTTATGACATCATTTTCTCTTGGTGTATTGAAGTAGTCTAACATCAAAAATAAATTTAACTCTTCCTGACTAACTACAAATATAGTGAATTTACTGTGTATTATGTTAACTCGGAACATTTTTGCCATCTGCGAAAACTAGTTTGTTTCATATTTTCGGAGATTACATCTGCAGAGGCTGGATATATAATTAACATGAAATAATAAATTAATAATCACACCTTTTCATGAACGGTTTTAAATTAAGAATACATTTATTAAAAATCTCTGCATCGGATATTAATACCCATTTACGGATTTAGCACACTGGAAGAAATAATACTTTTTCTCTCTAGAGGAAAAATTCACTACAGTTTTTAAATTTAATTCATCGCACTACGATGCAGTGAAAAGTGTAATCTTTCAATCTTAAAATTCAGTGCACGTATAATCTTTTAATACTGCTATCAAAATGTAAACAAATGTATGGAGGTGTAGAGAGCGTAGAGGAAATGATCTCATCGGAAGCTATACTGACTACCAATAAGTATTTGGACACCTGTGATAGAAAAGAAAAACTAACTTTATTGAAAATCAATAGTTGGTAGAGCCTCCACGAGAGGTTATTACAGCGTGGACCCTCCGAGGCATACTTTCCACAAGTTTTTGTATGACAGCTAGTGGTATTTTCTTCCACTTGGCTTGGAGAAGACATAGAAGTTCCTTCACCGATTTTGCACAAGTAGTGCACCCCTGAATTCGGCGATGCAACTCGTCCCAGAGGTTTTCAATAGGGTTCAGGTCTGGACTCTGGGCAGGCCAGCCCATTCGATGAATTCCATTGGCAGCATACCAAGCCTTGGTTAACGTCGAAACAGGACAACTGGCATTGTCGTCCTGAAAGTAACAGGGGTGCAACCCGTAAAACTGCCACAACGTAGGAAGCACATTGTCATCCAAAATAGTGCAGTAGGCATCGGAGTTGAGCTTACCATGAATGGGAACCAAGGGTCCCACCCCATACCAGGAGAAACACCCCCAGATCATAATTCCACCTCCACCGAACTTGACTGTTGGCACAATGCATTCTGGCAGGAGACGTTCTCCAGGTAGACGTCAGACCCAGACCCTGCCATCCGAACGGTAAAGGGTGAACCTTGATTCGTCACCCCAAAGAACCCGTTTCCACTGATCTACGGTCCAATTTCGATGTGCTTTGCACCTTTTTTTTTTTGTAAATTAACCGAGCAGCACGGTTGGACTTTGTGATCAAAGGCTTATGGGCAGCAGCACGACCATGAAAACCAAGCAGAAGTGCTTCCTTACGGATGGTATTCATTGAAACAATACTCCCGGATGCCTGTTGAAACTCCTCGTGGATGAGGGCCATCGGTTGGGTGCGGTTCTTCCGAATTTCTCTGGACAGCACTCGTCGGTCTCTATCTCCCAGTTTCGTTGGTCTGCTGACTCAGGGCACATTTCGACAATCACCGCTCACCTTCCACTTCCTTATCACATAGGCCACTGTCGATTTTGGGTACTTCAGATCGCTAGATATGTCCCTTAAGGATCGGCCACATTTATGATTCCCGATAATTATACCTTTCCCGAAATCAGAGAGCTCCAAACTGCAAAGCATCTTGCATGCGATTAAAGCCGATGCTGTTTCCTACACGATATATACCGGCAGAGTCTGTGATGTACCTTAGGACCGCAGATATCATCATTTGCATAGGTGTCCAAATACTTATTGATAGTCAGTGTATATCCGATCCCGAGAGAATGCTTATATGCCACCCGGCTAGATCCGTTAGTAGAGCACGAGACTCTTAATATCGGCGTCATGGGTTTGAGCCCCACGTTGGGCGTTATTCTCCTTTTTACTGTTTCAGAATAAAATCTACTTCCGATTTAATTCTGGGGAGCATCTGAAAATACACGCTGTTTACAAAATGACTTTTTTATATTTTTTCCAATAAAAATATAAAAATAAATTTGAAAATAAAATACATTTAAAATCACACAATAAGTTTTTATTTAAAATTGATATGATAATTAGTGCACAGAAAGGAAAAAATAATTTATCACATAGTTTAATGAGAATAATAGATTAAATAATTCAATTTACAGAATTCATCTTTAATTTTATATCGTGAATAATAAAAGCTTGGAGCGCCTAAATAATAAAATCTATTAATTTAATTGAATTGTCAAATTTATAAACCATTATCTTTCCAAATTTATGAGTGCTTTTATTATTCGCAATATAAAATTGTAGATGAATTCTGTAAACAGAATATTTAATCTGGTATTCCCATTAAACAATGGGATAAATTATTTTTCTCATTTTAGTGCATTAATTATTGTAAAAGCTAATTTCAGAAATCGCCCTTTTTTTAATTGTATTTAATTTCGTATTTTTTACAATTCGTCTAGAAAATATGCTAGGACTCTAGCAACTGCTTGATGTTCTGATACTTGATATATTGAATCTGAGCATTTGCTTTTTTATTATTTATATTTGTTATTTAGTGAAAGGGGCTTTTTTTTTTAAACATGCTTTAATTCTTTTGTTTGCAGTGTGATAGGTTCATGGTTCCTTATGACTTTGGAAGGTTATCTCCATCATTTCCCACATATGTGCCTCTGCTTAGGCTACATACTACATGTATTATGAACTCAGAGGAGGTAAGCAAAATCACAACCCTTTGACTCCAATGTTTTTCTAATATAAAATTAAATATATTTATATTTAATATTATACATATGTATATTAAATGTTTTAATGTGTGATAATAATAAAAATTTTGTATTTTAATCATTATTGAAATTTAGTACTTTCTGATTATCTGCATCCCAACAGAAAAGTCATTAAAATGTATTGGTGAGGTAACACACTACATAGCCAAAAAGTATTTATATGCCAAAACAGGTATGCTCGTAGGCATCCCCAAAATGTCTTTACAGTGTGTCTGCAGATTATGATCTCACCTTTGGGAATTAAGCAACTTAAAATAACAGTTGACCACATAATGCAGCTTTCGGCAAAATTTCTGACAACTTTGCATGCATACAGCATTATCGCTGAAAAGCATCATGCACTTCTTTCTTCTAATTTTAGGGTTTGGCAGGGGCGTAGCTAGAAGGGGGCAAGGGGGCATCTGTCCCCGGCCGCAGAATCCAAGGGGCGCCAAACTGATGTTACGATATTTTAGAATTAAATGTTTCCATCTTTGGCAAGCAGTAGGGGGCGCGAAATCTTCAGTTGTCCCTGGGCGCTGAAAACCCTAGCTATGACTCTGGGGTTTGGGTATGGACATTGGGTGCAATGATGAGTTTGTGCTCTCTTTTTAAGAGGAAACAGATCACTGTCTACATGGGGAGTGCAACAAAAAACAAAAAAGTACACATGTCTTGGACAAAGAAGAATGGGAAAAAGTAGGCAGTGCTGGATGCATCATTGAAACTGACGTCAAAATTCCCAAACAAAGGTTTCTGTCCAAAGTTGCCAACAAATTTACGACTTTCCTGTGGGTGGTGTGGATTATCAGAACTTGCCTAAATGTTTTAAGTTTATTGAAAAATAAATAATATTATTAAACGAGCTTTAAAACGACTTACAATCAAACACAGTGAAAACCATCTTCTATATGACGAGGACAGTGATGACGGTGAATAGAAAGAAGAAGAAAGTTCAAATAACGATTTTTCAAGGATTTTAAAGGTCATTTCTGGTTTCATAAAAAAGGATTTTTTTTTTTTTTAAGTCAGGTTTTGTGATTTAATAATAAAAATGGTAAAAACATTATTATCAGTAGTATGTATTTTTATTCTAGCTTGCAATAAGACAAAAATCTTTCCTTGTAGGCTGAGTGTCCTCCTACACAGTTGGAACCAGTGGACTTAACAGTGAACAAGAGTCGCTGTTCCCTCTCACCTGCATCTTCTCCTGCCAGTCTCCCTGCATCACCCACAATTCCTTCTTCTCCCTCATCCACTGCTGACAGTTACTCCTGTGTGGATTTAAGACTTAACAAAGGTGAGGCATACATATATATTTGCCATTTTCCTGAATCATCTCTTGAAAAAGACTTTTTTTTTTTTTTTTTTTAAGTATTATTTTATAGGAAAGAACTCGAAATTTACAGAATAAAGTCTTGTTTAGTTACAGAAATGCACACAGGTTACAGGGTAAATGTCTGTAATTCTTACATAGATTTTTGCACATATTTTTTCTATAAGAATGCTCGTAACGTGTGATCACGTGGCTTAGAAGAGCTGAGAGGGAAGAGGTTGCCCTAACCAATCAGGAAGAAGGTCAGAGAAGCGATTTAGTTTAGTGGGAGTGTTGAATGAAACTTCAAGGGGGGTGAGGCTTGATGATTATCTCATGGAGGTAGGTTAATCAGTGGTTGATGGGCATTTTACAGTCAAAAGTCGTTAATTCGGACACCCATAATTCGGAATGATCTATAATCCGGACCTCAAAGCTAAAAACGTTCTGCAGATGCGCCGCGTTGACACATGCGCATAGGCGTTTACGCGTGCGCGTAAGACCTCTTATGACTGCACATTTGCGTGTGCGCAAGCGCAGAATACGTTTTCGCGTACGCGTTTTATGTATAACGGATGGTGCAAGCTAAAATTATCTAATTATCTATTTCAGTTAATGTTGATGATTGCGTTGTTCCTTAATTTTCGAATTGGAACCGGCTTATTATTTTTTGCAGCCTGTAAGAGCAATACTATAAAAGTAAACTTGAACTTTCGATTATGTCAAATAGAATTTTTGATTCTGGAGCTCCCAAAGGATCATACAAAACGAAAGTATGTTTCGATGTCCATCAAACAAAAAGTGGAATTGCTGCAAAAAAGGGATAAAGACATGAAGAATGTGATAGAGAGGTCAGTGAAAACGAAAAAATTTCGATTGACAAGTTAGTCGGTATTCTCGGCACAGCAATTAACGGGACTTGAACAGCGAAACTTTGTAAGTGAACAAAAAATTATGTCTGTTTATAGAATTAAAGAGAAAGTATTATCACATAAAACAAAGCAACTTAAACAACTTACATTGAAAGAAATGTTTAATAAAGTAAACAAATAAATATTAAGCTTTTTTTTTTTTTTTTTTTTTTTTGTAAATTTTGATACCCTTTAGATCATAATTGTTCTTTATTTCATAAATTACGGTTTCATATTTTTAATTTTAGAATTTCTGCATGCCATCTTACGCTATTTAAACTGATGATCTATAATCCGGAAAAATCGATAATTCGGAATCGCCGAAGTCCCGACGAGTCCGGATTAACGACTTTTGACTGTATTCATTTTATGTCATTTATTTGTTATGTACTTTACATTCTCTGCAATTTAATTCTTTTAATGTTTATCTTATAGTTCTAGTATGCTTAAATAATACATTAGTATACTAATAAAACATAGAACATTTGTAATGTTATATACTAATACCTATATTAATGTTCTTATGACTATGTACTTAGAAATGTATTAAATATTAATGTTCTAACGTCTATAGTCTAATAATTTCTCGTGTTAAATATTAATATATGATTTAAAACATATTTAAACATAACATTATTATTCCATACATTTTATCATTAATCCCAGCGGGAACTGCATTAGAATATTTTTCATTTTAGAGCAGTAGGAGCTATTGAGATTAACAATAATAATATATGTTAATGTTAATCTTAACGGAAAAAATGAAAATGAATGTAATATTTTCCAAAAAAAATTCATGAAAATAACTTCACTGTAACATAACCTAAAAATGGGATATTATTTCATTAACCCTCTGGGCAGCCAGGGTTTTTGTTAAGAAAGCACAAATTTCCCAAAACTACTATGAGAACAAATAATTTTTTAAATTTTAATGCAAAAACTCTCCTGGTATTTCATACCTGGATTTGTTTTCTTTTGATATATTGCCTTAATTTTGATGACAAATTTTAATATGCACGCATATATACATTCTTACAGATATCACAATAAATATTCTAGGCCGTTTAGTTTTAATTTATGAATATAAAAAACATCTTTGGTCAAGTTTTGGTATTTACGAAATTTTTTTGTATTTTTTGTTGTTTAATTTATAAAACATGTTTAATAATCTAATTCTAAATAAATGCATAAGGTTTTATGTACTATCACTAACTCCCGTTGAAAAGTCAGGACCTTTTGTAAAATATTTATTACAGTCAAAAGTCGTTAATCCGGACTCGTCGGGACTTCGGCGATTCCGGATTATCGATTTTTCTAGATTATAGTTTCATAGTTTTATAGTGGATCAGTTTAAATCTGGTAAGATGGCATGCAGAAATTATAAAATTAAAAATATGAAACCGTAATTTATGAAATAAAGAACAATTATGATCTAAAGGGTATCAAAATTTACAAAAAAAAAGCTTAATATTTATTTGTTTACTTTATTAAACATTTCTTTCAATGTAAGTTGTTTAAGTCGCTTCGTTTTATGTCATAATATTTTCTCTTTAATTCTATAAACAGACATAATTTCTTCTTCAGTTACAAAGTTCCGCTGTTCAAGTCCTATAATTGCTGTGTCGAGAATACCGACTAATTTGTCAATCGAAATTTTTTCGTTTTCAATAACCTCTGTGTCACTTTCTTCACTATCGGAAGCAAATTACAATGATGAGGAATTTGATATAAATCATATCAAAGACGGAGTACATCGAGATGAAATACTACATTTAGTAAGGAATTAAAAGCCAAATAAAATAAAAACATCTGCCCTGAAGATAAGGATAGTACTGACAGATCAACTTCCAATTCATTGCGTGCCGCCCCCGCGCCGCAGAGCAGCGTGAAATTGATAAACAGATTTCGCAATTCTAGTTTTTGTTTAATGGACTTCGAAACATACTTTCGCTTTGTAGATCCTTTACATATTAGTAAATATATATCGGAAATTCTATTTGACATAATCGAAAGTTCAAGCTTACTTTTATAAAATTGCTCTAACAGTCTGCAAAAAATAATAAGCCGGATCCAATTCGAAGATTAAGGAACAACGCAATCTGCAACATTAACTGAATTAGATAATTTTAGCGTAGCGTATACCGTCTGTTATACATTAAACGCGCATGCGTAAACGTGTTATGCACATGCACACACGCATATTCGCAGCTGTAAAGGTCTTGCGCGCATGCGTCAACGTGATGCATGCGCAGAAAGTTTGTAGCTTTGAGGTCCGGATAATAGATCATTCCGGATTATGGGTGTCCGAATTAACGACTTTTGACTGTATTTTATTTAAAATTTTTCATTACATTATACACATATTACATTTTTGGTTTCCACAATTACCTTTACTAAATTTTACACTTTTAAAAATCTTCCATTTCATTAGTATTTCCCTTTAAGAAATATTCCACTAAATTAGTATTTTCCTATCATTTCCTAGGAAATGATCAGATTGAAATTAAGTATTAAAGTAAATAATTATATATTTCAAGTTTTGTAAAGGTGGTAAACATTAACATTAAAACTGTTTGTTTTTACAAGTCTGTTATTAATTTAAAACTAATAGTTCATAGTTAGATGATTTTTAAATTAAAAGAAGTGCATATAATTTACAAGCAAGTTATATACTATGGTGAGGAAAATGAAAATCAGTTGCAATTCAGCATAGCGTATAAAAATACATTTTTATATGATTTGTAAGAATTAAAATTAGTTCAGTTAAAGGATTAACAAACAGTTGTGTATAAAAGAATTAAATTCATTGTTAAATTCAATTTTAGTTTTGTAATATCTTTTATTTATTTATTTATTTTTTAATTTGGACAAAATTTATTTTTAATCGCTTATTGAAACACAATTTCATTAAAATATCTTTTACTATAATCAAATGTAACTGCACTCTCAACTTAGATTATACTCTTTGGGGTAGGGGGAATTCTAGATAATAACTCATTTATTACCACAAAAGCATCAAGCATGGTATACTGTTTTTAATCCTGATATCCCATGATGTACATATCATTTTCAGATGTCTTTTATTTTAAAATTCAATAAAGGAAAATTAGGTAGATGTAAAAGAAGCATATTAATTTTAACTTTTTTTAACATAATATTGTGACTATTTTGAAAGAAAATGCATTATTTTACTTGGAGTATGTAATATAATTATTTCTTAAAATAACTGAATAATGGCTAAAATTGCACACTTTTCCTTTACTCAAAAAACATAATGCAGTGTATTTCATTATAATAAGTTGCATTACATTGCACAGGAGAAACATCTGTAGACATTTCACATGCAGTAGACATCTTATACATGCATAATTATTTGTAGTAATATTAGCATATTTGTAACATTTGTGTATTTCACATAAGAATAACATGTTCTACACGTGTAATTACTTGGAAGAACCTTAAATAACCTTGAGCCAAATATCTGCAACTTTTATAGATATCTTCTGATAGTTCATATACAAAATGCACATTCTGCTTACATAATCACTTGCTGTAACCATACAAGCAGAATTTCAGTAATCTACAAATACATCTTTTGATGATCCACATTGAAAAGTACTTTCTGCTTACAGTATTATCTCTTGTAATGTTACAGATCAAACATCCGTTGGTATTTCACATACAAAAAATATGTTATCTTCACACAGTTATTTCTTGTAACATTATAGATTAATCATCTGTAACCATTACAGATACATATTTTGGTAACCCATGCATGAAGACTATGTTTTGCTTACACAGTTACTTCTTGTAACATTACATGCCAAGCTTCTGTAACCTTTACAGTTATAATCTCTGTAAAGTTACTTAGAATGTCCTTGTTATAATTTTTCAAATAGTCCATGGCATCCCAATTTCCATGAGTTTTTTTTATTAACCTTACTGAATTTTTTACAGTGTATCTGACCTAAACAGTAAGTGATAAGCTTATGTTACCTTGTCTACATATTATCTTATTAGATATAAACTGATGATCTAAAATCCAGATTGGGCGAAATCCTGACATTGACTTTACACTGCATTAAGGAAGTTCATAAAGAGAGACGATTGCTTAAAAATGGATATCATTTTTTTTCTTTTGTTTTGTTTTTAAAATATCATCTAAGCAGAAAAAATTCCTTGTAAAATCATTTGCAGACACACACATATAAGTATATGTACAGAGTAATTTTACAGAGGGGAGGGGGAAAAAAAGATAAAATTTAAAGAGCATTCACTAAATTTGCAAAGCTTTCATGACCTAGGATTTGCACTAGCAGGAGATGGAGAAATGATTCTCACCTATTTGAAGAGGTGTCACTGTAGAGGCCGAAAGGATAGAGAATTTAGAATCCATTAAATTTTGAATTAAACAAAGGAATTTCACAATTAATTATTTGTATTAAAATGTCAGGCTGGGAGATACTGATTCAACATTATTATTTCAAGATTAGATTATCATTTAATTAGACAATTTTTTTTATACATTTTAACTGTACATACGAATTTTTTTAAATTAGAAAATAAAAACGATGATCACAATTTGATATTCACAGGCATAGAGAGGGCGACTTTATACAACTTTTGAAAATGACTTGGATCACATATTCCAGATAACTAACAAAATTTAGAATAATTCCAAGTTTCTGATTCGGATTTTGGAAAGGATTATGTTAGTTTATTTTTATGGGAATTCTAACGTAATGTAGAAGTATTAAAATATAAAAGTAAGCTAATAAAATATTTTTTAAAAAATTTTTAATTTCTTGGATTTATTTGATATTTGTAAAAAGAACCTGATACTCACAGAATATTTTAAAAATTACCTGAAATTTTCAAAAATAATCATATAAATTTGTTCATAATATAAAGTTACTGGCCTTATTATGAATATTATGGTGCTTTTGATTTAATTGAGCCTCCTTAGTATTCTAAAAATTATAACTTTTAATTTCAAAGATAAGTGTTTATTATCTCCTAAATTTCTGCATCATCATCTTTAGTTACTGTACCATTCATGGTAATGAAGTACCACATAATAGTCAGATGTCAGTTCAACTCTCCATTTCTTTTATTAAAAAGTTCTTGACATTGAATATAAATATTTTTTCAGCAATCTGTGCCTACACTCTTGTTGAAATATCATGATATCACATGAAAATTTTTTTTCTTCCCCCCTTTCTTCCTTTCAATTTATCAATTTTGGTATTTATCAACATTTTTATTGTTTTTCTTGTTTAATTTATAAAACATATTAAAAAATAATCTAAATTTAAATAAATGCAAATATATTTTTCAAGCTGCGGGAAGGGGAATGATTGTCTAACAATGGTGGAAGGGATGTATTGGGTAAAAAAAGTCTCAGAACCAGTGACGTAGCGAGGGGGGCAAGGGTGTGTATGATGCCTTGGGTGCCGAATGGTCTCCAAACAAGATTTTCATCATATCACTGTGTTTTTCCCTGGGGGCTCTAAAATGGTATTTTGCCCCAGGCGCCAGTTTATGCACGCTACTCCACTGCTCAGAACTACTGTTTTAGAGAATATATATACAGTCAAAAGTCATTAATTCAGACACCCATAATCCGGACCTCAAGACGGTATAAGCTAAGCTAAAATTATCTAATTCAGTTAATGTTGCAGATTGCGTTGTTCCTTAATCTTCGAATTGGATTCGGCTTATTATTTTTTGCACTCTGTTAAAGCAATTTTATAAAAGTAAGCTTGAACTTTTGATTATGTCAAATAGAATTTACGATATATATTTACTAATATGTAAAGAATCTACAAAGCGAAAGTATGTTTCGAAGTCCATTAAACAAAAAGTAGAATTGCGAAACCTGTTTATCAATTTCACGCTGCTCTGCGGCGGGGCAGGGGGGGAATGCCGCGACGCCCAATGAATTGGAAGTTGATCTGTCAGCACTATCCTTATCTTCAGGGCAGATGTTTTTATTTCATTTGGCTTTTAATTCCTTACTAAATGTAGTATTTCATCTTGATGTACTCCGTCTTTGATATGATATAAATCAAATTCCTCGTCATTATAATTTGCTTCTGATAGAGAAGAAAGTGACACAGAGGTTATTGAAAACGAAAAAATTTCGATTGACAAATTAGTCGGTATTCTCGACACAGCAATTATAGGACTTGAACAGCGGAACTTTGTAACTGAAGAAGAAATTATGTCTGTTTATAGAATTAAAGAGAAAGTATTATGACATAAAACGTAGCAACTTAAACAACTTACATTGAAAGAAATGTTTAATAATGTTAACAAATAAATATTAAGCTTTTTTTTGTAAATTTTGATACCCTTTAGATCGTAATTGATCTTTACTTCATAAATTATGGTTTCATATTTTTAATTTTATAATTTCTGCATGCCATGTTACCAGATTTAAACTGATGATCTATAATCCAGAATCGCCGAAGTCCCGACGAGTCCGGATTAACGACTTTTGACTGTAGTAAATAAAATATTATGATGTAAATTGATTCAGCAAATTCTTATTTAAATTAAGACTAATTAAATGTATACATAAGTTAAATCTACTGCTGGTTTATTTATTTATTCAACTAATCTAAAACTTTTTTTTTATTATATTTTCTTTGAACTGTGTAAGTAAGTTGTTTTTATTTTACTAGATTTTAATTCAGATGAAGAAATATCAGATCCCATATCTAAGCCAGATTCTTCAACCTTACTTTCTCTCCAAAGGATAAAAGAGGCATCAATGTAAGTTGAAGTAATGGCTGAATTGTATTTTGTTTTTTCCTCTTGTAAAGTATATGGAATATAAATAATATAGTTTATATTAATTTCTTTTTTAGTGCTATGTTTCACATGGAAAAGGAACCAAGCTTCTTTAACAACCTGTTACAGAAGGGCTTGTTAGAGCAGCCTGAAGATCGTATGGTTATCTGTAATCCTTTGCTAAATGCCTCTAAAATGTTTAATGAAAGCATTGGTCTACCCAGTAACGTGGTAAAGGATGGAGTAGACATTTATTCTGAAAACCTACGAAGGAGAAAAACACATAAATGTGATTTTGTGGGCTGTGAGAAGGTTTACACCAAAAGTTCACATTTAAAAGCCCATAAACGAACTCATACAGGTGAGCAATCTGCTTTGATAAAATATGTAAGAGCTTCATTCATTTTCTGCTTTAATTTCACCAAGCAAAAGTTCTTTATAGGAGAAAAATTTCTCTTATTGTCAGAAATACTGCTGTCGTTATCATCTAAAAGGCCTAAAACAATAAAACATTATTAGCTTTTTCTTAATAATACTATTAAATTATAAATCATTGTTCTTTAAAGTGAAGAATGCTGCATTATATCATTAAATAATATACTAAGAAACTGCTTCTGTTGAAATGAATGGTATACTAGCTGTGAACATTTAAAAAATAAACTGTTTTAAAATGTTTCAAATCAAAGTAAAAATAGTATTTATTTCTGAAAATTTTGTAATTTTTTTTTAATAGAAGAAAAAAAATCTACTGCTCGGAAAAGGAGGGGGAAACATTCGATAGGGAGATACTAATAGCAAGACACAGTTGACAGAAACTGTGAAAGATTCAAAACCCTCTGCTTAAATACACACAAATCTAATTCCATTCTGGTGAGGAATACAGAAAGAAATTATAGTAAAGACTTAAATCATTAACTTAAAATATCTTAACCTCTTGCCTAACTACCTATGCTGTGTCGGCATGATTTTCTTCTGTGTCTTATTTGAAAAGACTGACCGAAATGTACCTTTTTCCAGTCTTGACCTCTGATGTTGATGTGTATTTGTTTGCTAGTCTTTTATCGAAATGTGATGGATAACATGTTTCGGGTACTGGTTAGGTATAAGAAAATTTTAATAAAACAATGAGAACAAAATGAAATGTTGTTGTGTTTATCTGCAAATATATACAGTCAAAGGTCGTTAATCCGGACTCGTCAGGACTTCAGCGATTCCGGATTATCGATTTTTCCGGATTATAGATCATCAGTTTAAATCTGATAAGATGGCATGCAGAAATTATAAAATTAAAAATATGAAACCATAATTTATGAAATAAAGAACAATTATGATCTAAAGGGTATCAAAATTTACAAAAAAAAAAAGCTTAATATTTATTTGTTTACTTTACTTTCTTCGCTATCGGAAGTGAATTATAATGACGAGGAATTTGATTTAAATCATATCAAAGACGGAGTACATCGAGATTAAATACTACATTTAGTAAGGAATTATAAGCCAAATAAAATAAAAACATCTGCCCTGAAGATAAGGATTGTGCTGACAGATCAACTTCCAATTCGTTGCACACCGCGACGTCCCCCCGCTGCAGAGCAGCGTGAAATTGATAAACAGATTTCGGAATGGCTAGATAAACAAAGGATATGCCTTTATCCATTTTTTGCAGCAATTCCACTTTTTGTTTAATGGACTTCGAAACATACATCCAGACTCGTCGGGAGTTCCGAATTATCGATTTTTCCGGATTATAGATCATCAGTTTAAATCTCATAAGATGGAATTCAGAAATTCTGAAATTAAAAATATGAAACCGTAATTTATGAAATAAAGAAGAATTATGATCTAAACGGTATCAAAATTTACAAAAAAAAAAAGCTTAATATTTATTTGTTTACTTATTAAACATTTCTTTCAATGTAAGTTGTTTAAGTTACTTCGTTTTATGTGATAATACTTTCTTTTTAATTCATAAACAGACATAATTTCTTGTTCAGTTACGATGTTCCGCTGTTCAAGTCCTGTAATTGCTGTGCCGAGAATACCGACTAACTTGTCAATCGAAATTTTTTCGTTTTCACTAACCTCTCTGTCACCTTCTTCATGTCTTTATCCATTTTTTGCAGCAATTCCACTTTTTGTTTGATGGACATCGAAACATACTTTCGTTTGTAGATTTGGGAGCTCCAGCATTGGAAATTCTATTGACATAATCGAAAGTTCAAGTTTACTTTTATAAAATTGCTCTTACGGTCTGCAAAAAATAATAAGCCGGATCCAATTCGAAGATTAAGGAACAATGCAATCATCAACATTAACTGAAATAGATAATTAGATAACTTTAGCTTATATCATCTGTTATACATTAAACGCGCACACGAGAACGTATTCTGCGCTTGTGCACATGCATATGCGCAGTCATAAAGGTCTTACACGCATGCGTAAATGCCTATGCGCATGTGCAGAATGTTTTTAGCTTTGAGGTCCGGATTATGGGTGTCTGAATTAATGACTTTTGACTGTAGAAGTGTTTTTATTTGATTATGGCAATGTTCAAATTATAAAAATAGTTTAAAAGAAGTGCAAGATATGTTCAACTAAATAAATCTTTCTCAAAATTACTAGAAATGCAGGCTCCATTAGATTTGTGTCCATTTTGCATTATACATACAGCTCAGAAAGCTTGAACTTGTTATTTAGCTATGAGATTTAGCATTAGCTGAATTATGAGTTTACTCTGAAAGTTATTTTCATAGTTGCTGATATTTCTCATACACTAAGGAGGAATTGTTTACTGTGCTATTTCTAATTAATTTTTTGTAATAAATTGTTAATTTCTTCTTATGTGAAGGAAATGGTAGCTCACAATGATATGAATGCCTAAAAATTTATTTTCAATATTGAAGAGAAGTAGGGTATCAAGAAGAAATTGGATTTAACTAGATTATGGTTACGTTTTTAAGGCTATCTGCCTAAGGGGAGAGATGCTTTCATAGAGGACTTTCTAAGGAAAAGTGATTTGCAGTTATATTACACATGAAGAACAGAAAGAAAGTATTTGTGAAACTATCCCATTTACACACATTTAAGCTCAGATCAGTAGGTCTTACCATTGTTTAATGACCTTATTCAGTCAGCCACAGGGAAGCATGCCAAGTGTCAGAGCAGGATCCTTCCTTACAATCTCAGCATCTTTCTGATGTGACTAATCTCATTTATCTGTTATCAGAAAAAGCCCACGAAATTCATCATGGCAAGGAATGCAAGATAGCGCCTGTCGTTGGCAACAGCCTTGGGAACCATACAGGTAACAGTATGACGTTGCTCAGCTCCGAGAGAGCACCCCAGAAGGGTGGGTTTGAGGATCTCCCATTCCCCTTCCTTTACCACTAATATCTGGAGTGGACTTTTGGCTGATCACACATTTAGAGTGTCCCATGCCACACAAACACTATACATTCTTAAACTTCTATGCCTTCTCCAGGATTCTAACCCAGGCCCTACGGTACGGCAGTACAAGTCACTAACCACTATCCTCGTTGGGTGGCTCAGCATCCTTTTTATACCCTGTTGTCTAGGCATGCATTTTGTTCAAAAAGATGCTGAAACTGCAAAACTATTATTGTCAGGGCAATCACAATTCTTCATAATCCTTCATTGTCCTTAAGGGTGGAGGTAGCTATTGCAAGTCTTCAAAATGCATCTGAATATTAATATATATATATTCAGATACATTATATAACTGTAGTACTTTTATGTAATTAACTCAACATCTTATTTAAAGCAAAGTGAGGAAACTGTTCATTTTGTTTTGTGTTAGTTTTAAGTATGTATCATTTTTCAGGAGAGAAACCTTACTCATGTTCATGGGTTGGCTGTACATGGAAGTTTGCTCGTTCAGATGAACTCACCCGGCATTACAGAAAGCATACTGGCCAAAAACCATTTAAGTGCCAGCTATGCCAGAGGTCTTTCTCTAGATCTGATCATTTATCTTTGCATATGAAGAGACATTAGCTCATGTTCCTTGTCAAGTCTTTTTTTGAGGTAAATTTTTATACTATATCTTGAATTTTTGTCTTGTTATATGTGTGTAAAATAAATGTATTATAAATATAATTTTTAAATCTTTTAGAGATATTAAATGATTTTTTTGTTTATTTTCTGATTATCCCCCCCATACACATAGATAGTTACCAGCTCATTAGCAGCTTTGTGAATTAGCTGTCTTTATGGTCCTATGGTTCTGTTCATAAATAACAACAAGTAGAAGCATTTTATAGCAAGAAATTTTAAGAGAAAAAGAAAAATCTGTATGGCTGATATTTACATTTGTACAGCCAGAACATACTCTTCAGCTATAGCCTTTAAAATTTCTTCAAAGCAGCCCGTTTTTGGAAGGAAGGGGCTTGCTACATCTTTTCAGAGATAAATTTAATGAAATAGGCTTAGATGGGTAGCAGTTCGTCGAATTTTAAAATCGTTTAGCATGTTGGGTGTGGTGCCACTTTCTGTGGTTCCCTTTACATTGCTTATAGCCAACTTCTGAAAGTGTATGGTTGCTGTGTCCCTTCCAGCTATCGGAAAAAATGGCTATTCCAGAATGCTCATTTTTAATATTTGGAATGGTCTGCAGAACAGTTTCCTACATTGCAAAGCAACTTCCTTGAAAAATCCTCGCAAAGTCACCAATGAGTTGCGGATTTTTCATGTGGGGAAGGCTGCTTAGCATGCTGGCAATCAGAAAGCACCCTTTATTAGGAATTTAATGATCTGATCCATTTATATTTCACTGTAATAATTTTGGATGATCACAAATAATTTGTTTTATTTTGAAAATGTAGAAAATGCGCCATAGACTTGTGGCAAAGAAATCTCTCCTAATTTGTTCTTAAGCAGCCATGATGTCATTTCATGATTGTTAAAGATATATTGTATATCTGATTTACTAATTAAAATTTAGGTAGTACTAAAATCAGGTAACTAAAACCAAAATTTGTGTCCTATTTCTTAAATTTTTGGATATTTGTCTGACTGAAAATTTAATGTTTCTCTGTATAAATGAAAATATAAATGTCAAAACTGTATTTAAGGAGAAATACAGTTTTGACACAAAAGCAACAGAAGTCTGCATACAGACTAAATTTTAAATTTAAAAAAAAGACTTAAAGCATAGAAAAATGTATTTTAATCATTGCATTTTTTTCTTCTATTAGCTAAAATTGTAAGCTAATAAAAAGTAAACAATATCGTGTAATACTTTTTACATTTTTTCAAAAAATGTTTTTCAAAAAAACTCAGAAATTCCCTCCAATAAGTCGGTGTATACTTTCAAAAAAAAAAAAAAAAAAAAAAAAAAAAAAGCAAAAAGCAAAATATAAGTTTTTACATTACTTCAATACTTGTAGGAATCCTTATTTCTTCAAAACAGTTGCAGACATCTAAGGCATTGACTGAACTAGTTTTCAGTGTCATCCGATGTAAATTTCCCCCATTCTTTCTGCAATTTGCTAATTAGCTCATTTTGCGACGTAATATTGTGTTTTTGAATTCGTTTCTCCAATTTTGCCCACAAATGTTCGATTGGATTGAGGTCTGGTGACTGTGGAGGAGTACACAACTGTCTTGGAGTGTTATAGAGGAGATATTCCTTCACAATTTTAGCTGTATTTCGGATCGTTGTCTTGTTGGAAAATAAAGCATTAGAAAGGTTTAAATTTCGAGCACTGTCTCGTAGATTTTTCTTCAGAATATCCAGATAAACATACTTATCCATGACTTATCAATAATGTGAAAATTTTCAAAATCCTTTCGATGACATACACCCCCATACCATCACATCGCCAGCTCCATGTCTGACAGTTGGATTTAAATTCTCGATTCAGTTCTGTTCCTGGGTTTCTCCATACAATAGGGTGGGCCTTAACTTTAAATATTGTAAATTTACTTTCATCTGACCAAATTACATTGTTCCAGAAGTCCTGCGAAGAGTTTTTTAAAATGTTTTGGCAAAGCAATTCTTTTCTTTCTATTTGTCTCGGAAAGTATGGCTTAGACCTAGGTTTGCGTCCATGATAATTGGCCTTTCGCAGCACTTGTTCGTACAGTTTCAGGAGAAATTTCCTTGTTGCGTTAAAAAAATGTCTTTTGCAATGCTTGCAGCAGAAGTTTAGGATTTTGTTAATTCGTAAAGAATTTTTCTTTCTTCTCTCTACGTTAGCTTCTTCGGTCTCCACATCTTGGTTTTACAGCAAGACTACCAGTGTCAAGATAGTTTGAATAACTTTGCCACTAGAAATGGTTTTCCAATGGTTTTACCAATATAACGAAGAGTTACCTTATCTCTCAATTTGATAATTAGTTGTCTCGTAACTAAGGATTTCTTTATTGGTTGTCATTTTCATCAAAGAAAATAGAAATAACAACTTCCAATCAACGTAAAATTTGCTTCAGAAGTCAATGATTGAAAGTGGTAACCTTCTTTGCATTCTCAAATTTGAAGTTTAAAAGTTCGATATGAAATCCCCGCCCCTTCACGTTGTACGCAAACTTATTGGCTTGATATCTGGCACTTATCTTTTAAAAATTAGTGTGCATAAATTATTAGATATGAAAATATTACAGTTAAAATAATTTCAAAGTTCCCTTATTGAAACTAATATTTAAAAATAAAACTTTAAGAAACTACCCTTTTCGCACCTTAAAATTGGATTTGATATTACTTTTCTTGATGTACGCAGACTTTATTGACTAACTGTATGTTATGAGACTCTTTATAGGAATCTCAAAAGGTAAAAATTCATTTTAATAAAAAAAATTCAAAGAAATATATTGTGAAACTAGTAGTAGTAATAAGGTTTTTGTTGCATCAACTACTTTTGCATTAAAAATAAATTTCAGGAAATGTTTTCTACTAAATTCTGTCCTTGAATATTCATTTAAAATCATCATAACACATTTATGCTGTAATATAGTTCTGATGTTTGAATTTTTGTTTATATGGAGGAGCATTAAAATTTAAATAGGACAAGTGTTCAAAAGATAAAATTAAATTTTCCCTTCATTATTATGAACTAAATTTTAATTATCAAATCTGCTGGCAGTTTTTACATTCAGTTTATCTATTATAAAATATAAAAATAATGAGAAAAATTTGTAATTAATTTAGACTGTTATGTATAATATATAATGACCTTTTCCTTTCTTGCAGAGAATATGAAGAAATTATTTAGCCTCATATTGAGAAGAATGCAGTTTTTATTCATTCATTGGAGGCAGTACAAAGTCATTGTTTAGTATCATTCCACTGTAGTGAAAGGTTTTGTCTCAATGTTTACGACGATCTCTGTGAAGTCAGAGTGATAAAATGGTTAATGATTGTTGACAAGTGTACATTTCTAAAGTGACTATAAGCTTTAGGAACAATGCTTTAAAGGGACTCGGGGCATTCCATGTTTTCATTGTTGAAAGAGTAATTGTATTACTCATGTTTTTGACTTGCGTTAAAATCAAACTCAATTGCTCATAAATTGCTTCCTCGTGTGCTTAGGTATTGCTAGAATCTGTTCATCTGAATGAAAATTAGGGAAATCACAAATAATAGAAATGAAGCATTGAATATTATTTATGAACTAGTCTAATGCATGTATTATTTTGAAGCTAAATAATTTCTCTTATATTTTGGGAATTATATATAAGAACATCTTATTTAAAAATTTTTATTCTTCAAATATTGATGAGATGAATATTTAAATATTTAAGAATTCGCTCAAGAAAATGCGTGTCTTGAAATAAATGGAATTTACAAATGGGTTCAAAACAAACCTCAACACTATTTGCAGATCAAAAAGAGGTTTTTCATTGAAAATTGCTTAAATATCCTATTTACTATCTGAATTCATGAGCAATCATTAATTTGGTGCAGTTTGAAAGTTTTATTTTTCTGATTAATTTCTCTTTTTTATCATCAATCTTTCACTGGATCCTTGTACAAGCTTCAAGCAGTGATAGATAAAATTGGGTTCTTATTGAATATTTTTTACTGAAGAACTGTACTCAAAAATTTTTATGTATTTATATCGAGAGTAGTGAGTTTTTTGTGCAGTTTATGTGAAACTACTGAAATTTGAAATTGCTAATTTTCTAATTTATCTTCTATCTTTTGAGATCTGTATGCATGGTAGCTAGTATGAAAGTAATCTTATTTAAAATATTTGGAGTATTAAAAAAAATAAATAAAACGATACAGTGATCTTAACAATATTCTGAAATGTATCAAATTAATATTGTGGTATTCAAAGGTATTAAAAGGATACAGTAATGAAAAGGGTAAATATACTAGAAAACTGTAACTAAATTAGAAGCTATTGTACAAAATGTTGCATATCAACAAAAAATGGGTTAAAATGGGGGGGGGATATTTGCCTGTATCAATTAAAAATCACATTACATATTTTATAGTATATGCTATATTTATGATATGATTTTCATTTTATTTTCTATTTATGAGAAAATTTCAGGTTTAGACAGGTCAAGAATATTGTCATGTCATCTACTATAATATGTTAATTGCACTTGAAAAATTAGGCAGTTTTGTACACGTCTTAATGCTTTTTTAATAATAAAATGAATTTTTATTTGATTCAGAATCATGATTCTAGCAGTAACCATCATCGTACATATTTACGAACAAAATAAAGCTTAAATTTTGATTGTGCTTAAGTATTACTGTAAAAAACTGTATTCTAATTACAGTTGTTTTTATTTATGAAATTTATACAGTATTTATAAAAGCATTTGGAATATCTCAAAATTCACTTCCAAAAAGGCATATTTTGAAATTTTGCCGTTGCTGTGTATTTATAGAATTTTTATTAAATGTATGCAGAGTAATTAAAAAACAATTACACATATTTGTTTATTTTATTGTAGGTAATTTTATCATAATATTTCATTTATGTCCCTCTAATTGCATTGGCCAGTATTTCTCTCCATCTCTCATGCTTTTTAATTTTTGCACTGTGATTAGGGCTTTATGTCTTGTTTAATTATATCTGTTCTTATGTGTTTGTCTGACGAGGTACACATTTAATGTACTGAACCTTATGATAAATATTGAGCCCATTAAAGTAGCAGATTTGTTTTCATTAGACTGTGTGTAAAGTTTATATGAGTAGGAGGCAAGAGGTCATTTGCCTTTTTTAAGTAAGTTGCCATTAAATTTGTGAATTATTTATTATTTAATTTCAAAAACAATTGTAACAAGAGTCAGTAACTTTCATAATAATGTGTTTCATTGTAATTATAATACATATAATATATTCTTTTTCTATAGTATACTTGTACAGTATTTTATTTAAAAAAATTCTGCTTTTTATTGTATCAGGTCTTGATGATTTTTAGCATGCTGTACATTTTATTACAATATCATTCACTGAATTTAATCAGTTAAGGATTTGATGTGAAAGAATATTTTATAAATACATAGTTTTTTTTAATCCAAATAGTATAGATTTTTTAAACATAATCTTATCAGCGGATTGAAAGTAGTAAGCTGTTTTGTCCTATCAGAAAAAAAAAGGGGGCTTATTAATAAATCATGTTCTTCTGTCCCTTTGAATTGCTTATACTTTCTTAAAAGTCTGTTTCTGTTCATCTGTTCAAAACTCAAATTTAGTAAAACATCAGCACTCTTTTAAGGCCTTATTGCTCTACTTTACATTAACTGAATTCTGAGTCACTATAAAAGCAACATAAAGTTCAATGTTATGTGGAAAGGTATTTTTAAAGAATATTTTTAATTAAAAAGATAGAATTAATTTTTTAAATTTAATTAGAAATGTTTTTGGGGTACATTTTCTGAAGGTATATTTGCAGTTATTATCAATGTAATTGCAAGTTTAGGTTACTTATTCAGAAATTTTACATCTCTGGGTAATTTTACTCCGTTACATTATATAATTTTTTATTTCAAAAACTTCCAAAGACTTTAGTTCTTTATTCCACATTCTGTTTAAAAAATTTATTAAATACTTGAAGTCAGGAGAAAAGTCTAATAATTAAGATTATCAAATTTTTTTATAGGTGCATGATTTTTAAACCTAAGTAGGAGTTTTTTAAACAAAGAATACAAATTTGATTTTGTATGATATTAGGCCTTATACTGACCTTTGCATTTAAAAGTATTTTTTGTTAGTACCTCTGTCTTACGTAGAAGTAAACTAATTAATATAAAATTTCTTAAACATTTAATAACTCAGAAATTCATGATTTCCTGTGATATATATGTAAAAGTCTGTAAACTATCTTATTTTAAGAATGTTTTAATGTAAACAGTAACATTTTGTCAAACTGCTGTTGAGGATATTTCTGCTGATTAAACATATGGCTTTATTAATTAAAATCTTAAAAACTCCATTAAATGTTCAACTCTTAAAATAGTTACTATGTTTATGATGGATTTCTTAGAATTGTGATTATGTATACTGTGCTTCTAAATTTTATGGACAAATGTATCACATCTCTAGAAAATTCTATGTATCTAACTTTTCCCAGTTACTTTTTTTTTTTTTTTTTTTTTAATGCAGTATACAGTGCATGGGAGTAAAGGGTGGACATTTATTCTAATTCTGTTATCAATTTGGAAGCTGATAGATTATGTAAATGTATTTATACATCACAAATCATGTTTAGAAAATGTATGTATAACTCTTCATTATACATGAATCTAAAAAGCGTACTATATCATATTCTTAAAATTTGATAAGTACATTTTGAATTTTAATGCTGTAAATAAGGTTTTGGGGGAAAGAAAAAATATAATTCTTGGTAAAAGAAATTCATGTGTTCAATTTGCTGCATTGCATCTCTTTAAAGTGAAATTACTTTCCAGCCTGCCAAATTGTAATTTTTATAAATATTATTTTATTCTATTACTTCTCAGATGAATTTAAGTTATCTATATGATGTTGTTGGTATATTTTTGTAACAAAAAATTTTGGGAAGATTAAATATTTAGAATGTGCTCAAACTGTTGAATTTTGTATGAAATGTTTAGTCTTAAATATTTACAGGAATGTGATTAACTCAAAAACAGTATTATAACAAATGAAATACTATGCTCAGACTGCTTTTTACTGTATTAAACTTGTGTGATTTTTCTATTTAATAAATATTGTGCTGCCAAATGAAAAGAAATGTTTTCATGTTAAATCATTATAAGTGTATATTCCACAGTTACTATTTATATTCTTGCAGTGTAAGTTAAGAATTGCATTTTGCAGTTTTGATCTTCTACATTTTATTACATTGTGTAGAAAATCATTTTAGTCTAGTAAGTCAATTGATTTTGATTTTGAAAATAAAGAAAAAACTTTAAATATTGTACATGAAATGAATAGCAAATAACTCTAAATTAATAAATCACCAAATTGAAGTATATTTCCTGTATAAAAAAAGATTAATAATACTTAAAACTGTTATATCAAACATTTCAACATTCCTTTGATTTAATTCCAGCCTGATATTTTTTATTTTTGATGTAGTTATCTGTTTAACTTTTGTTGGTTTTTTGTGTTCATTATTATAGCCTTAATACGCTTAAGTTTACAGTAGAAGATTATTTATCCATTATATGAGCTCTGTTCAGCTACAGCATTTGCAGAGATTTAAATAATGTTGGTATGGATTAAATATATATATATATATATAAAAATTTTTTGCATATATTTTATTATGCAGTTATAAATTCATTTCTACTCAAAAATTAATGATTTATAAGTATTACCATTTCACTTATTAGTAAAATCTTTCAGCCATTTAAATTCAGCATGAAAAAACTCAGTCAAACTCTTAGACATAATCAAAATACATAATACAAATGATAAACTATTTGTGCATTAGGGGAAATTTTATACTTTGTTATCTTCAAGGCATAAGAATGGGGGGGGGAGTGATATATATGTCAGTATTTATTAGATGTATCCAAAAATGTGTTCTGGTCATTTGCTTCTGAGTCAGTGATAGAATGTCATTCTTCTAAGTTGCTGATATCTTGAAGAATATCAAGAGTGTATTTTAGAATATGAGTCTTCTGAGTTGTCGGTAGTGGCCTCGGCGACCAATTACATCCTCATATAATCCATTAAAAGTGCTGCCAAGCAGCTATGTAGTGGCCTTGATTCAGTTGGTGCTTGTACCAAGAAACAGATTCAAATATAGGGCAACAAGACACTTTTGTTTTGATGCGCAATATTTGGCTTCTACATTTCAGACATCAGTTCAACACCCAAGATTATTTATCACCCTCAAGAACACTTCAGGCAATACAGTGTCACAATTCCCATCTATTAACTGATAATGCCACGGAACAGCAACAGCAAAGCAAGTTAACTGAGGTTGTTTTCACTATCCTAAAATTAATTATCATCTAAGCCATTTGAAGTACTGATGGTTTAACATTTGTTTAAATAAATTCAGTACTGAAAAATCAGCTTCTAAGCTATGGTACAACTCTAGCCAGTTTTTCTCCTTCCTCCCTCTCAATAGTTACTGGTCAACAGCCTGAACTCATATTCCTTTTTCAAGTAAATAGACTGGGAAAAAATAAACCATTAAGTGATGTTGCACTTACATCATTTAATGGTTTATATTTACACAGAACCTTACTTCCAGTCTATAGGAAGAATTTTAAAATGTAACCCATTTTTAGTCATATTTATTTATATAAGGAAAACAAGTAGTACATCTCAAAAAAATATTATTGTGTATACTATTCATTGCAAAGGCTTTAGTTATAAATTTTTACATAAATAATCTTCTATTGTATGTGCTAATTTCTACTCTTTTATAATAACTTGTACTCATTTTATCATTAACTTCTAACCCATGATTCTATTAAATATGCTATATATTTTTCAAATGAGCATAAAACCAGAAATATGCCACAAGCAAGAAAATGTGGTTGTTTAAATTTTTCTAATTTAATATTTATCATTCTCAGCTCTGAAGCGAGATTTGTGAGATTTATTTAATTATATTTTGATTAATTATATTATGGTCTTATTTAATTTAGGCCCATAATTCAATTATGTTCATGCTTTATTTGCAAATAGTTGAAGATATAATTGAAATATATTATAAATGAAGTATTAAGACAAAAACAAGGACATTGGTAATACCTTTTACCTGATGAAATTCCTGCATAGTTTCATTTATGAAAGAGGGAGAATATGCAGTGAACATTGTTGGTCAGCTTACCATATGTTCAAAACCCATTAAAGTAACTTAAATTATTGATTGAGAAATAGTGGAAGTAGTACTTAAAATTTTGGTGTACATTTTAATTAAAATGTCTTGTATGCTGTGTAATATAACAAATCAGATTCCAAACCAAATTTTATAAACACTCCACTTGCTGTTCATATACATACATAGATATATATAGATATATATATATATATATATATATATATATATATATATATATATATATGTAAGTGGTTAAAAATTTGAAGTACTTTCTAATTATTAAAATATTTAAGTACAGGTTAAATTACTTAAATCTGTTAATAATATACTATAAAAACAGAAGTAACTTTTGTAGTTTCATTAAATAAGTTACTTTTTATTACAATAACACCTTTCTGATATCTTTGCATACTTATCTGTTTCTATGAGTTACAGAATACGAGGGCTTCGGTGTGTCAAAAGAAGTCTAACTTAAAGTTGCCTCCTAGAAGTCGCATATTTTCATGAAAAAGTTATGGACATTGCTGAGACTCGTGTATTGAATGATTTTGTATTGTGATTTATTAAATATTTATATTAGTTTATATAGACGAGGGGAAACATTTTGTAAGTTACCCTGATTTTAAGTTTATGAACATTTTCTATTTGCAGTTAGTTAGTTGTGTCTTTTTTTAAAATAATTTTTTGTATTATTTTATATTTTTTATCAATTCAAAAGTAAATATGTATTTATAAATAAATTTATGTTCTGCTGGTTATATTTTCTTCAACTGAGAAAAAAATTCAGCCCCCCCGGCATCTTTTTTCCCCCTAAGTAAAGATAAGTAGATGCTTTATTTTAATATATATTTAATTCTAATATACTAATTGGCAATATACGAACTTCATATTACAGCAGCAGATTTTAAAATCCAACTTAAGTCATTGTTCTGTAAAATGTTAAAAGTTTCTCTATTACTTTTTAATAAGTTTGCCTTAGATTAGAACTTTTTTTTTTTTTTCTTTTCTCTTTCTTAGTTATTTCTAATATATTTTAAGTGTTGAATTTAAATATTAATAGGTTTTTTAGTATTAAATTCCTAAATATTGAAATAGCAAAAATTTTGCAATTTTTTAAAACTATTTCAATTATTTCATTATTCTGTTTGAAGAAAAGTAATTTCAGAAAGTATGTTGTTGAATTCATAAAAGAGTAATCAGTTATTTTCTTTACATATTTTCTGTGAGATATTGTACCTGTTTGAATATTATTTTGTACCTTGTAAAACTGAAATTTATACATTAAGATTGCTACAAACTTTTATCAAACATTCCTTGACCTGGGTTCATGTATTGTGTGTATGTTATTAATAGTGTTTTAATAAATTGACGCCTGCATTGCAGAAGATGTAAAATCAAGTTAACTATATATATCTATATATTTTGTACTCCACATAAATTATAATAAAAGTTATTGTACATTTACTGTTTTGGATTTTTTTATGCATATATGAAATAAAAGCAAAATTTCTGACTGATGTAGGAACACAGTAGGAAGTACTGATGTAGGAGCGCAGATATAGAAAGCGTAGAAATACTGATTGCAAAGATACTTGATACTTAGAAGTAGATTTCATAATGATAAAGAAGCTTGGCAGTCGAGGCAGTTTTAATCCTTTTTTTATTTCCAGTTGACATT